AATATAGATGATTTTTACAGAACCAGAGTTGTTCTTGTTTTAAATGTCCCATAAGTATTCTTTGGAATTCTGTATTTCAGACAAAGCACTTTGATAGCCCCTATTTGGTATACCATGAAATGGTAAAAACCAGCCGGATTTTTGTTCGAGACTGCAGCATGGTATCGGTATATCCACTGATCTTGTTTGGGGGAGGCCGTGTGAACATGCAGCTCCAGAATGGGGCATATGTTGTTTCCTTGGATGATGGGTGGATTAACTTCGTTGCAGCCTCACGTCAGGTAAAGAATTAAGTAACTCAGCAGATCCATTAAGTTTCTTCAAGCTGTTTTCCAAATATGTTAGATTATAAATGTTGTAACCTCAATACACTTAAAGGACAACATCTTAAGAATGTTTGATATAACATAACAAAGATTACATCTTTGATATAAACAATGACAGATAGTCGTTGATTCACGACAGTTGAACCCAAAATTTCCATTGCTAAGCAGGAAAATTTTTAAGTGATATTTGCCCCATTTTACAACCTTTTTGCCAGTTTCTAAACAAATCATTGCAGTTGTTAAGTGAATCATGCAGTCATTCATTAAGTGAATTTGGCTTCTCCTATTGACTTTGCTTGTCGGAAGCTGGTTGGGAAGGTTACAAATGGTAATCACATGATCCCAGGACAGTGCAACTGTGATAAATACATGCCAGTTGTCAAGCACCTGAATTTTGATCATGTGACCATGGGGATGATGCAACAATCGTAAATGTGAGAACTGCTCATAAGTCATTTTTTTCAGCTCTGTTGTAACTTCGAACAGTCATTAAATCTATGGTTGTAAGTCAAGGACTACATGTACTTTCATTTGCAGTAGTGGATAGTGGTGCCTTGTACAACTTTCTATATCAATATAGGGAACAGGTTCTGTTCCTTAAAGAATACCCCCTTCTGGACTGGCCCCTAAGGCCAACGTGGAAAAATGTATCTGTTCTAGAAGGCACTTACAATATAATGAGCAGCATTTTGTCTAATTTTTAAAATTTCCTACATTGAAAAGGACCAGTTTCTTTCTTATGACTCTATGGCCTCCAAGTAGATAGGTGATTTAAGAACAATGCCTTCTTCATGGATATAGATGCCTTCATTGCTTGAGAACCACTGTTTTGCAATTCACTGGCACAATAGAGACTGATATGGTACTGTGTATATGTCTCAGGCAGTAATGTTGCAATTACAATATTGTATAGCAAGATAAATTATAATCACCATCAATGAAATAGGCCTATCATGCTAATATACGCCTATTGTCATGATAGCATTATCATCTCACAGCTTTCATAGTCATTTCTGCTGCCAGAGAAAACCAAGCCTTGCCCAGCATTCAGAGACATTCAGAGGGAAGGGGGGGTCTGATGGGACCAGTGACATTGAGGAATGGATTCCACCTGAAGGCTATGCCTCTTGATAAACTCTGCTCTTATGATTAATCCCTATCTTTCCCTCCAGCCTATTGCACCTGGCCTCTCTGCCTGTGTCAGCAGCAGCCACTTCTGTTGTAGATGGCCAGCATGCCTGCCTCCTTCAGCCATGTTGCTATTATTGCTTCACAAATTCCAGATATTTCCACATAGATATAGGTAATCTTCAGTGAGGGCCAGAAGAGTAGTAGGTAGAATCTGTTTTCCACTCTTTTGGCCCCTCACTCCCAGAACTGCTGTCCTGTACCTCACATGCGGGCAACAGCTTTGTCGCTTCATTCCTGAGGTGTGACAAAAAGAAGTCTGTATGGTCAGCCATTTACCAAGTGACGTACTTTCCTCCCATTTAAAGATAGAAGGAAAGCATGTAATTGTGGGAAACAGCTTTTCACCTTCTTAAAAACGCATTAACACATTTCTGGTGGTCTTAAACATTTTGATTGTATGATGCAATCAACTTGTGTAGGTAGATAAACTAACCTTGTAAACAACATAAAGAAAAATACTCAAGACTAATCAGTATGTTTAACATTTCTGTGCAGAGCATAAAAAAATCCAAGTTATCATATAGAAAACACTGCAAGTTTGATATGCATAGCCTTCCATGTATGTATTTTGCATTTAATTCTTTCTGTCCTAATTTAGAACATTGGGATACATGTAAGGACAATGTAGTTATAGTTTCAAGCAATACTTTACTCAGTGGGACTTGTACAAAGACCTACAGTTGCAAGCACACTAAGAATCAAACAAGGTGTGTTCTTGAACCACTATCCTCCTGCCACATCAGAAATTTGGAAAAGGGGGTATTCAATATTTGGTGATGCAATGTATAGCAAATACTGCACAATGTACTGCTATTTAGAAAGAGAAAATAGTGAATAGAGCTTCCAGAGTCAGAGGCAGCATAAAGGAATGGCTATGTCCTTCATACTGTGCTTATGAAGTGTTTTGAGTGGCTGCTATTAGAAACCTCATCCAGACTTTATTTTGGGTGCATATTTGTGATTTATTTATTTATGAGACTTATATACCGCTTTAAGTGCAAGCACTCTCTAAGCAGTGTACAAGCAATGTGTGTGTGTGTGTGTGTGTGTGTGTGTGTGTGTATATATACATATATATATATATATATATATATATATAGTGAGAAATAAAATGATCACCAGGGTAATAAAACTATAAAATTTATTAAAAAAGCGCCTAGCTTTCGCCGTCACCTGCCGGCATCCTCAGGGCTAGTGCGCCAGGGAGTGAGAGAGTCGCTTTTTGCGCAGACTTTAGTACACCTATAAAAGCGACTCTCTCACTCCCTGGCGCACTAGCACTGAGGATGCCGGCAGGTGACGGCGAAAGCTAGGCGTTTTTTTAATAAATTTTATAGTTTTATTACCCTGGTGATCATTTTATTTCTCACCATGAATACTCCCAGGGTTCATATTTTTAATTTTCTCAAACACACACACACACACACACACACACACACACACACACACACACACACACACACACACACACACACACATATATATATATATATATATATATATATATATATATATATATATTGCCCCCAACAATCTGGGTCCTCATTTTACCTACCCCGGAAGGATGGAAGGCTGAGTCAACCTTGAGCTGGTGAGATTTGAACCGCTGACCTGCTGAACGCAGTCAGCTAAAGTGGCCTGCAGTACTGCACTCTAACTGCTGCGCCACCTCGGCTCTTTTTATTTCAGATAGCAGAACTAGTGAAAGAACTTCGCAATGAACTTGACCAGCTACTCCAGGAAAAAATTAAAAACCCCAGCATGGATCTGTGTACTTGCCCTCGAGGATCTCGGCTTATCAGCTTGATTGTAAAACTTGTGACAACACAATAGTATTAGCTACTGAGGATGGCTTTCTTCTAACGCTAATGACAGGAAAATGAAATGTAGCACTTGCCCTTGTACAGCTATTTGGAAGCCTAAATATCCAATTTAAAAGTCTGTTTTTTAAGTAGTTCTAAACAGTTTTAGAATCATGATAGAAACTGATATACATTTACACAAGGAGCTTGCATATTTAAAATAAAACTTAAAAGTTTTTCTTCCTTTTGCAAAGCAAGGAATAAGCATTCAGAAAATAATTCATGAACAGATCACACATTTAATGTTTAATGATTCCCCATTCCCTTTTTCTGTTCAATAAAGGATTGACTCTATGATAGTCTGGCAGGATGTTAATTTGTCTTTCCCCTTCCCAAAAAGGCAGTGCATGAAATATGTCATGGTTTCTACATTGCTCTGCGTCCAGAAATGAATCCTGTCCAATTTCAGTAAATTTACATCTGCTTTCATTTAGTCAATCAGTGTTGGTTACTAGAATTCAAATATCGTGATACCAGTTATGGAATAATTTAAGCATAAAATTGGCCTAAGCTTGCAAAAACCCACTACTTATTCTCAAATAATACAGTATTGGAGCCTGATGATGTAAACTATATACAATTATATAAATATTGTAATAAATAAAGGAATTCTCAAAATCAATAGTTGTCATTCTTTCTTTTCAGGAAAATTATATTCTATTTGAAACTGCTCAAAGCATTGTGGTTTGATTTGTGGATATAGTGAGGGAAGGAAGTTTTGCAAAAATGATGATGAAAGGATTTATATTACACCTATACTGGGAAATGGCTACCTCCTAAATTTTTGAGCACAATTCTATCCAGGACAGAAAAGTGATTGAGAAATTTAATTATAACAAAACTTATTTTATGATCAACTTAGGGATTTCATCTGGGAGCTTATTAACAGAGCCCAAAGTTTTGTAAACTTCTACCAAAATAAGGAAAATCTTGTGAATTCCAGTCAAACATTTTGGAAATAGGTCGATAAAGTTCCTTATGAATTTCTTAAGAGTTTAAAAATAAATTAATATTTAGGACACCTATTATACTGAATTTATATTTTTAAACAATGTTTCACCTCAACTACTTATTATTTGAAAATATAGTGACCAATAAGTTTCATGAATATTGAAGTGAACTATCAAGGACTATGTAGATAGCAAACATTGGGTCTTCAAGCGCACTATCATTCCCACATGCCATATTTGGAAACACAATCGTCTGCTCAGCCTTTTTCAACATGATGCCCTGCAGATATGTTGAACTACAAACCCCACAGATGCGACCAAAGCATGTTTTAATTTTCTATCAATAGTCTGACCATTCAAAGGAACCTATATGTGCACATAAATGGCTTTGTGGTAGTAGATAATATTAAAGTCAAGCAAAATATTGTCATATTGCATCTGAAAATGTCTTGCATAGAAAAATGTCCTTTTTCAATATCTTCAAAGGACTTGGCTATGTGCAGAAAATGAACTTATAGAATTTACTATGCAGTACTTTCAGTTGTGAAATTGGCTGCATATTCATAGGAAAAAAACCTGTCCAAAATATTTTATTACTTTTATTACTGTCCCATGTTCTTCAGAAACATTAATACTTTGTTTTCAACTTAAGAGACTGAATAGAATAAGAATGTGACATATTTTTAACTTTATTTTATATATACAAATCAACTTTGCAGGAACTTCAGGGGGAAAAGTCAAAATATTTTTATATAAAAATATATAAAAAACTAGCACAGCTGCTACAATTGCTATTTGTATACAAAACAAAATTTGGAAACACTGGCTGACCATTAACTATTAAGTATTCCTACTTTTAATTAAACTGCTAAGTGTTTTAAGTGTAATGAAATGTATATGCCTCACTGCTGAAGTGCAAGATAGTTTTGAATCAATCCTTGAACTCTACACAAAATTATTTCATTAGAGCTATTGCAATCTTCTGGTCCATATGGTGGATCAATGGTTAATACACCTGCCACACACAGCGTTGGTTGTGATTCTCCTTGTTCTATTACAGGGATGTGGTTTTTCTCCAGCCAATTCTTCAAGGAGTTTTTCTTTCTGTCCAGCTCTTCTTGATTATAAGTTTGACTTTTTCCAGCCATGAAGAGATAAGCAAGTTTTTCTTTGATTTTATCATCTCTTTCGGTCACTATTTCAATATTTTGCACAGCATGTCCTAAAACAACTAAAACAGATACTTTTCCATTCTCGAGGGGATTTGCCAGAAGAATGCTGTCAAGAATAAAAAGTTCATATGAGGATATATTAAGTCAGGGGTGTCAAAACTGGCGGCCTGCAGGCCGGATGCATCATACACAGGCCACACCCATCCTGGCTCCACAAAGGCAAATGTCACGATATGTCACGATGTCATGTGACGCGATCTAGTTTGACACCAGTGTGTTAAGTGATCACTTTGCTAGTTGGCTTTTCATGCATACTAGGCCTTTCTGTCAGTCTTTTGACAATGATGCTGTATCAAAAAAGTTTAAATCAGAATGAAACAGCTGCATTCCCAATGAAAAAAACTGAAATTGCTATGGCATTACAAGCCATTCCACAAGTTGCCCAATAAACCTGGGGCTTGAGTTGCATTAGCAATCCTTGAAGTGTGTAACAATTAGATCAAGATCAAAAGCCAAAATAAATGAGGGCTCTCCAGTTAGACTCATAAAATATTTCAATCACATCATATGCATAATGTAAGTTGCATGTTTGGTACTATTATCTTTCATCATACTTATCACATTTTCAATTGACATCATGCTAAGATGTAAGGTCAATTACCATCCATTGTACATATGCTTTAAATATTCTTATATCAAATGCTAATATTGTGCAAATCATTTGATGAAGCATTTTGGTACTGAGCAAAGTATCCTCCAGCTTTGGTCCTTAAAGTCATGAACAAGTTGTTTCAAATCGTCTCCATTGTGTGTGCCATGAAGTGATTACTTCATCAGCTATCCCAAAGGATGTCTTTTAGTGGATGCACACATATTTGCCAGAAGATGACAGGAGGGTCCTTGAATCAGCTACTTTGCAGCTTTGAGGAACTGATCTCTCATTGTGTGTGTGTGTGTGCGCGCACACACACACACACACACACACACACATATGTGTCCTTCTATAATGCATACATAATAGAAAGTGTTCTTTTCAACGGGGAAGGTTATTTGGGATTTGAATCTTATGAGTCACCGGAATTCTTTGTGCACAGAATTCTTTTAAATTCTATTTTAGCAACTCAGTAGGAATTGATCACAAAAATCAATAGATGGCTTACAGTAAAAGTATTCATATAAATTAAAAACTTTTCCATGGTGTTAATGTACAATTACCCTTCTTATCTAAACATTTTAAAAGACATGGGTAATTATTTTTACAATAAACATAATTGTTGATTTACTATCATATTGCCTATGTCTTGATATACAAATCAACAAAAAATGATTTTTCCCCATTGTTAACTGCTAGGTTCATCACTGCAAAAACTGAAAAATTGGCATATATATTTCACTAGATCAACAAGTATGGAAATGGCTGAATAACTGACAAAAATTTTTAAAAACCTGACAATGTAGAATAAGTTTACTAGTAAGTCTTGTCACCATTTATTAGTTGTAACCACTTTTTCCTGAAATTACCTACATATTTTCAAATGTCTATCCAGACAAAAATATTTAATATGTTTGCATTAAGATTTCATTTGCATTCTGTTTAGGCATACAATCTCCCATTTTAATTTGCTTTTCATTTTATACATTATAATCATTCATCCCTTTCATTCTCCCTTAACACACATTCTTTCTCTGAAAAAGTATTTCTATATAAAATTCACAGATACATACTTGGCAGAAACTGGGTCAATTGTTAAAACCCATCCTTTATATTGGTGTTTCTCAGCAGCCAGTACTTTGACTTCTTTATCCACAAAAGCTAGCCATTCCAAAGGAGTTTTCCTCTGCCATTCAGTCATATTTCCTTTTTACTGAACCTAATGAGAAAACAAAGCATCATTGCCAGCAATATCCTTTGCCTCTGTATTAGGAAAACTTACCTATTTCCATGATTAAGAATAACATGACCCTGCTGGATCAAGTCAAGGTTCATATTAGTCCAGGATATTTATTAAGAGTGGCTAATAGCTGGCTATGAAATGCTCACAAGCAGCAGTTATATCCCTCCCTGGCTATTATTCCCCTGACATTGATAGTTGGAATGCATACTACCTGGAGTCCAATTGTAATACTGAATCTCAAGATTAATAGCTCTTGATAGACCAGCACTTCTAAAATGTACCCAGTTCTTTCTTAAACACAAATCTTGTAAGTCTACAGATTTATTATGTCAAAGACTTTTTGAAAATCCAGGTGTACAAGGTTACAAAGTCACCTCCATCTATCTGCCTGTGCACTAAAAAAAAAAATAGACTATGAAGCAGGATTTACTTTTGTAGAATGCTAATTTTTTTAAAGAGGCTTATTCCTTTACTGCTTAGTTATTTTTCTTTTGATTACACTTTCCACTAATTTATCTTCACCAGCCTATTATTTCTAGGATCTCCCAGAGCCCTTTTTAAGAATTACTGTTACACTGCCTACCTTTCAGCAGAGGACTGGACAAGTTACATATTTTTGCTATGATATCAACAATTCTACATTTGGGGAACGTTTACTTGTTTGATTTCTTACTATACAATCTTTCCAAATGTTTTAGAATGCTGTTAACTTATCTTAGGCTACTAATAGGTTACTTTGCTTTAGCAATTCCAGTTCAGCCACTTTTCTGGCTGGTTTGTTGCTGGTTTTTTTTTTTAAATATGTTTAAGTAAATTCTTATTGGTTCTCTTCAGTTTAATTGACTGGTCTGATTTGGTTCCACCAAATTCTAAACAATTCTTGGCACTTTTAAAATTTGCTAGTTTAACAATTAATTATTGCTTATTTGTTATTTGACATATCCTGCCTTTCCTCAGGGTTCAAGTTGTACACACAGAACTCTCTCCTCCCATATTTCCCACAACCCTGTGAATTGGAAGAGTGACTGCCCAAGTCACAGAGCTTAACCAAGAGTGGAGCGAACAGGGAGCTTCTTGTGTTGAAATAAGTCTTCATCCTGGTTCATCCAAGCTAGGAATAAACATGGCAACTGCTTTGGGAAGAAGGTTGTAGTTTATTGGAGAGGAGAGCCAGACAGGAAAATGGTTCTGGCAGCAAAGATGAGAGAAAAAGGACTGAGCACATGTAGGAAGTAGGCTTTTTTATATCCTCTGGAGCCTTTTGTTTGGAGTTATTTCCTGTTCCTGTTTTGAGGCTATTTCCTGTGTCATGTATTCTGACCTGAGTTTGGGTGTGCCCTTTGGCCTTTGTGAGTTAATCCTACCATGTCCTGTCCCAGGTGGGGTATGCAGATTTTAGGTCTTTGTCTTCCTAATCTCCTAGCTCCAGCTTTCCTAATGGTTTACATCTGCATTTGTACAGAGCTGGTTTCTGCTTGGGGGAGGCAGACTTGGGGCTATTAAGAAAACTGGGCATGCTTTCCTGCTTCTTTAAGATCCTTGGAGGAAATATATTTTTCTGCCCTTTTTAATATTTCCTTCTCTAGGGGGCTGACTTCCCACACTTGGTTATAGCCCAATACCACAATCACATTGGCAATATGTTTAATTTTTTTGCCATAAGCTCTATTTTTTTTTACATTCCTTATTAATAAATCCTTTTTTTTTTTTTTCCAAAATGTGGGTTTTTAGTAGGGTAGGTTTTTCATTTCTTGACAGACACCTTCAGCTGCTAACCCCAAATTTTGATTGCAAAAATATGTATTTTTCATTAATCAGAAATATAAGCACATTACTATAAGGCAGTGGTTCTCAACCTGTGGGTCAGGACCCCATTTGGGTCGAACAACCATTTCACGGGGGTCGCCAAACAACACAGTCCGCCATTTCCCCCCCCCCTTTTCCTTAGCTGTGCTACTCCCTTTTATTCTATTGGCTTTTGAAAGCCAATAGAATAGACTCTCTTGAATAGAGTCTAATTCTATTGGCTTTCAAAAGCCAATAGGAATTGTCCAGGCTGTCTCTGCCCTGCTGAGCCCGCCAAAAGTCCCATTCTGCAAACAGTGCTGCACCAGTTGATTAGTCCTCGACTTACGACCGGTTGGGGATCGCGGCATTAAAAAAGTTGAGAACCACTGCTATAAGGTAAAAGTACAACCTAACCATATCTATTTATAAGTAGGGCCACAGAGTTCAGCACAACATATTCCCAGGCAAATGAGTATTGGATTGTAACCTTCATCCAACCTGCTGCTTCAGGTTAAACTAATTTATAAACTAATGTAAAACTGGATTGCAGTCTTGGTCACAGGAACAGCAACAAGATGGGCCCCTAATGCTATAAACTTCAGAAACTGAAGTAAGGATACTGATATCAGCTGAGGTTGTTTTTTTTCCATAAATCAAAGCAACTGGACTGTAAAAATTTAAAACTCTCCTTTATTAAATTATGAACAGCTGCACATAGCCACAATCTAATGTCAATATTCTTGAATTAGATTATGTTTTGAATTAGGTATAGTGATCAAGATTCACAGTTAATATTGCATCGGTCGCTATTTCTCAGCAATTCACTTAACAGATTTCTTTTTAGAGAATATGACGAGAATGCTCCACATATTTTGCTCCAAGGAAATTCAGGGCATAACCATAATAAAGTCATAATAATAATTATTTAGCCATCCGTATCATTGAAATCTTTTTTGCTAATCGATCTTCTGCATCGAAGATGAGGTTGCAATATCATTCCATCGAATAATCTTTCCACAAGACTACTGTTCGATAGTATTGCACTAACCAATGTTTCTGAAGGTATGAACCCCAACACGTACATTAATTTCAGGTCCGGAAAACCTGCAGTTACGAACGCAATGTTCCCCCTCGCGGTTCTTACTGCATAGTCAAATCTATAAATATACAGGGCGTTTATTTAAAAAAAAGCTGGACTGCAAGATTGCAGCTATTCTTGTTATTTAAATAGAGGTACCACTCACACACATCCTTGAAAATAAATTACAATCCAGACATCCAGCCTCAGCAGCCACCATTCAGAGATACCTTTAAAGACAGCTCGATGCCGCCATGCTCCGGCCGGGCCGTCCTTTCTGGGACCCAGAATGCACTGCGTTCCCGGGGCCTCTTTATTCCCCTTCCGTAGCCGGTTGTTCTGAGGAGCCTTTCAAGACGAGACGGAACTGAATGGAAGAAATCCTTTTTAGAATATTAGAATCGTAGAATCGCTACGATAAAAAAAAGCTTTGAAAAACTGATTCACGGCGGAATTCACGTTTCTTTGGTTATCTGATTCAGAACACAATTAGGAATTTACTACGAGGCGATTCCATTTCCACGGTTACTTTATAGTTCCTCTTTCTGCTCCGGATTTTTAGGATTCACCTTTTAAAAGATTTATCTTCTGGCCCTCGTTATATATTGATGATCTTATTTTGGATGTGAAAGTTTTGTTAAGTTATGTAAGCTGCTTCGAAAAGACAATTACTTTAAAGGTAAAAATGTTTCCCGTAGCTGGACCTCGAATTTTGGCGGCTTTATTGATATTGTTTTGACAAGAGCAGGAAGTAGCTTTGATTGGCTTGCTTCTGCAGCTCTTCCGGATCTAGCCCAGAGTTTTACAGTTTTTAGTGATCGCCCACCCAGATACTAACCGTGTTCGGCGTTGTGTTATTTTTAAAGGTCAACTAAGATGGCACTGATAACAAATAAATATAGGCAAGGGTTCTGATAAATATTAGAGAAGTGAAGTAAAAATTAGGGGGAAAAAACCCAGTAAGTTTGTTTCCCTAGCGCTCTACAGTCTGGTAGAATCTCGATTCTCAAAACGATTTCTAAAATACATATTAACTACAGATAATAGCAGCCGTTGTTAATACGGCTTTAAAGCTAAAACGAGCGATATTTTAAACACGCCTTTTTAAGGGACACTTAACGTCGCTCAAAATGGCGTCACAACTCATTTCCCATCCCCTTTTTTCAGCCTAACGTTACTATGGAAACAAAAACTCTTTTTCCCGCCTCGCCAGTCCGCTACGATTCACAATTATACTGCGCGTGCGCAATAACGGCGCAATCTATATAAGGATTACAACCCGCATGCGCTCAGCGACAGTTGTTTTTTCGTTGGCGAAGGGATGTCGCGCTATAGCCGTTATGGTGGAGGTAAGTGACGAGAACTCAAGGGTGGTGCGAGGAAGGTGTCATCTGTATGTGTGTGTCTGTTCTCCGTATCAGGTGGTGAAATTTCACTTTTTTGATGGTACCAAGCTGTATCTATAAGGTTAAGCCCCGCTAGGAAATTATCCGGCGCCATTTTGCACATGTTATAGTTCCTGGATGTACCGAGGCGAACTTCTTTCGAGTTGGAATTACTAAGCCTAAATACGCAAATACGCTGCTGGTTTGCTTGAGGAACATATTAGTGGAAGCAGGCAGGCATTTAATGATTTAATTGATTTTTTTTCTCCCTTTCTATTAATGCTACTACCGGTGTACGGGTAAAATGGAGGTGGTACTAAAGATGGCGGCGCCCGTGATCGGCGGGGCAGGAAGACGGTGGGGGAAACGGCGGCATCGGGCGGGCTTGCACCGGAGTAGTCGCGTGTGTCTACCGCCCGGAAGCGGTGATGGCCTAGTGCGCACGCGCGCGATGGAGCATATGTGCTGCTATGCCTTCTTGGCCTTGTGATTTAGCGGCTTGCTGGGCCCGAGTTGGAGTAGTTGGCTGGAGCTCCGTGTGACAGCGGAGGACGACTACTTTTGTCTTTTTGTGAAAACAGCCAGTGTAAGGCGAATAAAAATAAATTGTAAAATAGACAGTAGCGTTGATCGCACAGCGGTGATCACAAAACCTAAAAAATCACTACTATATCCAGTATGCTAAGAAACGGTTTTTGCAGGAAGTAGATAACTTGGTTAAATTCATCTGGAAGACTTATTGTATTGTATAGTAAGGTTCCTCAACTATAGTGAAACTTATGCTCCATTAAGTATGTCTTTATATTTGAACTAAGCTTAAGATGACAACGTTTTGGAGATCACTGTTTTCTACTTTTGCAGAAACAAAAGTGTACGTTGGTAACTTAGGAACAGGCGCTGGTAAAGGAGAACTTGAAAGGGCTTTCAGCTACTATGGACCATTACGTACTGTGTGGATTGCACGAAACCCTCCCGGGTTTGCATTTGTTGAATTTGAAGACCCAAGGGATGCTGAAGATGCTGTTCGTGGTCTAGATGGAAAGTAAGTAGGAATAAAAATTTATTTGTGAAATAACTTCCATTTTTATGTTAGGTATGTTGACTGAAATGTTTTGCTCTTGTAGGGTGATCTGTGGTTCTAGGGTTAGAGTGGAATTATCAACTGGTATGCCTCGTAGGTCTCGCTATGATAGACCTCCAGCTCGACGACCATTTGATCCTAATGATAGATGTTATGAGTGTGGCGAGAAAGGTCATTATGCTTATGATTGTCATCGCTATAGTCGTCGGAGAAGAAGCAGGTATGTGTAGATACAAATATCTTGTCTTTAAGTTATGTGTAATTTTGATTAGCAAAATATTAATAAAGCATTTTAAAAATAGTATAATTATATGGGTATGTTACATTTGTTTATATTTTGTATTAAAATGTTAATATGTTAATAATCAACCTGATCAAAACCTTTCAGGTTTCTTCGTTTGAGTCAGTCGCCTTGATTCAGAATGTCACGAGCCTTAAGATTTCATGCTGAGGCGCCTTGCAAATCCGACAATTAAGATCCTCCTAGACCTTGAGGTGATCAGCATAAGAGGCCAGATCCCCTCGAGCCATCTACACGTAGCTTCACCTTATTCTTTAAAGGGCAGAAAAATTGAGACGGTGATCGCCGTAACAGTAAATTTGGCTTTCAATTGGGCCCCCCTCCGGTTTAAAAAGAGGAACACCAGATTGACCACATTCCCACCTAGAAAAATCTTCTTGCGTCAATCAAGCCTCACCTGGCTCATTTGGCTGTCAGTTTGATCGTCGTTAGATTGAAGAAAACACCTAGATGCAGCGATCGGCTATAGATACTTCTAGATCGTCTAGATCTGCTAGACCTTGGGCCAAAGAGGGTCGACCTGCAAACTTGCAAGGTTTATTTTAAATACACATTACAGTGTTTTATATTATTATGTAATTCTAAATGTTATACATTTTATCATCTTTTATTAGGTAGTAAAAATACTCGAGACAATTAGGCCCTGATTTTTTTCATCTGATGGACACTAATTTTTAGATAGCTGATGTTTTGGCTTCAGCGAGGGCTCACATGCTAATTGTTGAATTTGTAATTTAATTTTTTTTCCCTCTATAACTAAAACTAGGTCACGGTCTCGGTCTCATTCAAGGTCCAGAGGAAGAAGATACTCTCGCTCACGCAGCCGAAGTCGTGGCAGGAGGTAAACATTTACATATGTGGAGCATTGTAGCTTTAGCAGGCAAAGAATAGTATAACTGTAAATCTGTTTCCATTTAGATCCAGGTCTGTCTCAGCTCGCAGATCTAGATCTCTGTCTCCTCGTAGATCCAGATCTGTATCGCCACGTAGATCCCGTTCAGGTTCTTTAAAAAGATCAAGGTAATTTGTTAATATTTATGATTGTAAAATAGGTAGTTCTTAGTTTTTGAATGCTGCAATGTTCCTGTGTATACAAATCAGCTTAACAACTGTCAGTGTTCTGAATTTATTGTACAGTATAGGTAGTACTCAACTTATAACCATTAATTTAGTGATTAAAGTTACGATAGCACTGAAAAAAGTGAAGTATGACCATTTTTCACATTTAATGACCATTGCAGCACACCAATGGTCACATGATCAAAATTTGGATGCTTGGTAACTGACTTGTGATGCAGTGTGTGCTGGGATCATGTGATCAGAAGGTTTGGGCTCAGTTGTCATAGGTTGAGGACTACTTATAGTGGATGATCTTTTTGCATGTGTTAAGGATTAAGTCATTTGTGCAGTGTTATGAATCTGGCTCAGGCAAGTGATAGCTTGCTTTTGGAGTACTTTGGCTGGTGATTGAGACATTCACTGTATGTAGCTAATGCTGGTTTTCCTGCTTTGAGTGCTCTTTAGTTTACTGAACTATACTATTCTTTAGATTGCTTATTATGAGAGTGAATTGCAGGTACTCTGGTAATCAGTGGCATCCATTGGCACATTGAGAAATCACTCACCATCATATACTGGCAACACTAGCGTCCAATTGGTGTGAGTGAAAAGCCTCTCCACTGATATAATGAAAGATAGAGCATAAAAATAGTGAAAAAATTCCATTACCAGTTGAACCTGTCACTTTTAAGAAAGCAAGCTACATGAAGCCTTGCAACTAGACTCATCCAGTGAGATCTGTTGTGACAGTGAGGAGAATCAAATACTTTTTTTGTTGCCAAATGACTGCTGAGGGAAGAAATGCTGGTGGCGAGGGAAACACCATATAGAATTTTATAGATTTGGAGTCTTCAAATTTGCAGTTTTCTGCTGTTTTAAACTGAAAGGAACCCCTGGTAAATGATTGTATATTATCTGCCTCTCTAGAATCTTATTTTAATAGCATATATTTACCCAAGTAATCTGGAATAATCACATTGAGTTTTTTGACTTATATGAAATATTCAGGAACTGGGGACACCAGTATTGAATTCCTCTTTTTTTTTTTAAACCCAGGTCTCGATCAAGATCCAGGTCGAGGTCGAGGTCCATTTCACGTCCCAGAAGCAGGTAAACTTCCATTTGTGGACATTTAAAATAACAAATGTGAAATTTGCCACTGTTAGAAACTTTTGCTTAATTTGAAAATAACAGATTTTTTTTGTTTATTTAGCCTTTGCTATATTTGAAGAAAAATGGCCTTAGTCTTCTTTTATATGTGCACATGCACACAATTTATACTATGAAGACATCTATATTATGAACTTTGTATTTGTGGAGTGTCCTTTTGGTTCCAAATATTTGGTAAAGAAACAGTTGCAAAATGTTTCTTACCGTCAAATTAAACCTGCATTTTGTAAAATAAGAATCAGGACTGTAAAGTAAATTAGTGAGTATGTTAATGTTAATCAAGATTAATTGATATTTCAACAGCCGCTCTAAATCACGATCACCATCTTTAAAGAGAAGGTAAGTTAAATCTGCAGGTTGAATTACTTATTACTTATTGTTACAGTTAACTAAGAAAAAGTAATTTATAGTAATGGTCTCTGCATAGATCTATGGAGAAAACAGAAATATTGTATTTGAGGTTCTTCATCTAACTAAAAAAATGTTATAGATACATAACATAAAATTTTGCAACTTTTACTAGTTTGAATTAGTATTCAGAGCCTCACTCCAAAATAGGAAGTTTTTACTTATATTAAATTATTGAGCACATTATCTTGATTGTTTTAATGGACAATAAAATTAAATGGCTCATAGTCAGACTGAGAAGGTATAGAGTTATAACTGGCCCTGAATAAACTTTGGGAGTAACTCTGCTATAGTGCAGAATAATCTATATTTTGAATGATAGTTAGTTATCCAAGAAAAGTAAATCTAGATGTTTAATCCAAATTAGAAATGTATTTAAAAGCATTTTACTTGATTTAATCTTCAGTCTTGCTTTTTCAGTTTTGATATGAGCCATTTATATCCATTCTCCATTAATTCACGGTAAGTATGCTGCTTCTTGAATGCTTTGAAAGCTTGGCTAAACTTTCTTGTGGGAAAGGGGGTGCATGAATTGTGGAAAATTTGTTTTGGTATTTCACATTAAAAATTTACATGGTTTCCACTTGATTTCTAACATGTTCTTTTACAAGAATAACCCAAATAACTTAAGCATTAGGGTTAAATTTATTATTGCCCTAGAAGTAATAATGGGCCTGATTATAACACTAATCCATTAATCTAGTCAAACTTTTTATTAACTTCTTGTGACTTGGTTTCTCTTTGCCCCTTCTTTTTTTATTTCTAGCCGTTCACCATCGGGAAGCCCTCGAAGAAGTATCAGTCCTGAAAGACTGGATTAGAATGGCAAAGAACGTGTTAGGAAAAGTATTGTTTACGTAATTTTAAGGGATTTCTTTATTGAGAAATGTAAGGATTTAGTTCGCTGAAGAAAATCTTTTCTAGGATTAAGCAGCAAGGATCTGGATCTTTTAGTAAAATCTGTAAAAGCTGCTACAGTAGATTATAGTGCACAATTTCTTGTATGTAACAACATCCTATGATCTCAAAAATGTCTTTTTATGGGCACATGAAATAAAATGTGTTTCTAACTTTGCTATAATGTTATTTGCTTCTGTTAATATTTCAAATGCATGTTAAAAAGCAAACTCCAAACAAATGCCTTAGTGTTGTATCAAAATGCTGTGCAAGGATATATTAACTTGTTACTATTAGACTGCCCGCAGTAGACTTATGTGATTTAGGCACAATCTTAATGACTTGAAATGGTGTATCAAAGAAGCTGCTTGTCTGGTTTTGTACTATATATTGATATGATCTGTTAATTCATACTGCAGGATGCTATTGTGTCTTAATCCAGGCACATTTAACTATTTAAAGATAAGCCCAAGACAAATTCAGATGGCCACTTGGCTCCAGTCTGGAATTATTTAATAAAGCAATTAGGTACTTCGTCTCTGTCAGATAAAGTATCATTTGGGCAAGAGCAGTATTATTGCTCTCCAAAACAAAATTTTAAGACAAAATTGTATTACGTCTGGTCCCTTGTGCAGAATTCACTGAGAACAATTTTTGTTATCTGTCAAAGTTGCAAGGGATTATTAAAAAATATTAAATTATTTATTAAATAATTTGTTAAAATTATTTAAATTAAAGCAGTTAACCACTCTTTTACAGAACAAGCATAGGTTTATTCCACATTTTATTTCTTTATCTCCTTTTTCTCATGAAATTCAATATGAAGTTGGTGTCTCTTATCCCTAAATTAACCTTATAAAATAGATGGAATAGGGAAGTGACTGATCCAAAATCACTTAGATTCTATGGCTAAGGGAAAACTTAAATCTGTCTCTGATCCTAGTCCAATAACTTACACACTGCACCACACGCTTAGCCTCTTATATGAGGAATAAAACCACTTCAAGACTATAAAAAATCATTTTCTATTACTAGACTTAGTGTTATAGCAAACGTCTTAGGAAGAAATTCAAAAACAGTTCAAGTAACAGTATGCAACATCTTAGTACAGCTATACTGTTTCCCAAGATTGCTTGTCTCTGCTTTAAGAAGCACCATGTCTCAAAGTACCTTTTGGAGTTTAAAAGCAAAATGCTGCATGCCCCTAGTTGTCAACACTTCAAGTATTTCTACAAAGACACACATGACTTCAGCTACATTTCATATATCTTTAGGATTGCAGGCATTCTGCAATAAAAGGAAGGAATTTGCAAGGGCATTAAATAAATTGACAATGCTTTTTAAGGGATGCTGTATAATTTAATGCTTAGCATGGTTACAGTATCTCCCCAGTTATCTGATTGCATTTCCTTGCCACTTTTTATAATCCTTCCTATTGGCCACTGTACTCCTATAAACTAAATAAGTTATAAAAGGTGAAGTATCTTTCTGTGTTGAGAACAAACTTTTTTTTATTGAAATAAAGCTTCCATAGCTACTTTGACACAAATTCATTTGCATGCCATACACTAGCTTCCTTTCTAAAAACTGCCATTAATTGCAGACTTAATCTACCATCTTGTACTGCGTTCATATAGTGATAGAATATACACTGCCTTATTTATCAACTATATTTTTAATGTGAAAGGGTTCTGTAAACCTCAAGCTTGAAAAATGAGTTGGTTTGTAAGTTACCTGAAGTGGGAGAGGTCTGACTCACACTTTCTGATACAAAATCCATGGGGGTTTCACTGTTGATAAATCTGGACCTCAGAGTATTATATACCAAAAAAAGTAAACAAATTCAATTTAAAATGGCACCAATTTACTGTATGTGGGAAAGGTGGATTGGCTTCAGTCAATCTTCAAAATAGGCATTGAGACGGAATGCTTAGTCTTTTTAAGAAGCAGATCCTCTCCCCTCAGCCCTTATATTGAGTCCTTATTGCTGGGGGTATAATATCACCTAAAAGATTGGAGATTATTGTGGAAGTGGTCTGGCCTAATAAATCATACATTAATGGCTGAATTTGATGTGCTTTATAATAGAATTCATTTATTGCAAATCTCATTTCAATGAGAAATCAGTCTCAAGTCCCTTTAAGCATGCTAGGTAATATTACAGCACAGTTCTAGTTATCTATTCACCATATGAACTGTATTTCATTCACAAGTAGAAAATTAAGCCACATTCTGAGAATTATTTTTTTAACTTATCTTGAAAAATAAAAATGAATTGGTGAGATAGATATACTATTACAGTCTTACTGTTCTTACTTATCCCACAGTAGATTGGAAACGGACTATACCGGTAGTTCTAAGCTGTTAAATGACAAATTGTGTACACTATAGTGCTGAGCTGATTTGAGCAGACTTACGTACACCTAACCATGAAATCTAGCAGTTCATTAAGGATATATGCAATCATTAACAACTGACATCAGCATATTCACGTTACATCTTTGGCTCTGCCTCTTCCTAAGTCTGTATGGAACCCTTGTGGTCCCAGAAAAATTATGGTTGAATTAAAAAGGTTATACAATGTTAATCATTCGAAGTATCCTAAGTGCTCAACAGTAATATTCCATATTTGGAATGTTAACTTCTGAAATAAATGGAAACTACCCTGCCAAATATCTATGATCACATTATTATGTCTCAGTAATACCTGCATTGTCAAGGAACACGGCCAACAGACCAGCTTAATGAAAGTCTTCATGATTTTAAATTAAGACTTCACTTCCTATTTGTATTTAGAGCAGATGAAATATAAAATCTTTGTCAAAAGGTGGTAAACAGATGATAACATTCAATTTGTTGAGTGAACTTAAATTTTACTACTTTTCTATTATGAAGAGGGGACTTAACCAAATACTACCTTTTAATGGTTTTCTTTGATGAAATGTGTGCTATAATCAGGATATTCAGAATGTGCTTTAATCACTTAAAATATTTTTGTAAAATTAATTTTTACCATGATTTCATTTAAGATGCAGAGAACTTGAAACATGTTGTGATATTATATTCATCTTCTGGGTACAACAGGACGTCTGGGAAATTAGACTATAAAGAAAAAAAACACACTTTAGGTAGAACCATACTTGTACACTTGTACTCAATTGTTCGCATTTAAAAACAGCTTCAAAATACTCTGATCAGTGTTCAGAGGTTTTTCCAAACTTTATATTCTTGTCTGGAATAGAAAACATTTCCCAAATGATTGGAATATTTGTAATCTTTTTCAAAACCTATTTTTTTTTACATTCTAACAAATATGAATTGTATGGAAAGATTGGCTAAAATGGACACATTTAATAGATAAGTGCTTGACAGCTATCTGGTTTACGATCTGGTAGTCGAATTTATTGGCATTAAGAGCTAGGCAACATACAGAGAAATCACATTCTTTGAAGGTTGTATTTAGATTTCAACTGAAGGGATCGCTTTTTGAATGCAATTTAAAATCGGGAGGGGGAGAAAGGAGCAGCATATAAATATAATTCTATTATATGGCAATGCAAGATTTCTCTTCAGCTCCAACACAGAATAATATTTCATTTAATCTACAGCTCAATCCATAATATCACAATGGCAATGGCTTCAATATATTGTGATCCAAGACTATTATGTGGTGTCTTCTAGCATCTAAGAAAATGTACCTGATTCACGGCATTTGGCCAGTTTTGTGTTTCAAGGCAGAAACCAGAATGCTTGAGGTACACTTGGCCCTCTTTACCCTTTAGAGTCCCATCCAAGAAATTTCCTGTATAAAATTGAACACCAGGTTGAGTTGTATAAACTTCTATCATTCGGCCACTAGGAGGATGATAAGCTCTGAAAAAAGACAATAGATGGTTACTAAATTAGCCTTTCTGTGTACTCCTACTTGCAGAAATTCCATTTTTGTCTTGATAAAATGTTAAACTTCTTAAATTTAAATGTTACACAACTGCCTTGGTTTAACCTACCATATAGGGTTTTGGGGGGGGGGATAAAATGAGGCCACTCCCCCATACATGCCATTTGAGCTTTAGCTAAAGATGTGCTGATTTAAATAAAAAAATCCTTTAAAATGTAATCTATGAACCTTATTTTCAGACAAGAGGATATAAGATTGCAGCCTTAGATTTGTTGCCACAAACACATTACCATTTCACATAATTTTAACATCAAAGTTTTTAAGAATTAAATCATTTTCTTTAAAAAGATAACTGTACCTCTAGTCATCATTTTAAGTAAATGATTTGATAGTACCACTTTATACCACACTGGTGAGACCATACTTGGAATATGGTGTCTAGTTCTGGTCATCACAATACAAAAAAAGGTGCTGAGACCCTGGAAAGTGTGCAGAGAAGAGCAACAAAGACGATAAAGGGCCTGTTGAGGTTAAACCATATGATGAACGGTTGAGGGAGTAGGTATGTCTAGCCTATCAAAGAGAAGGATTGGGGGGGACATGACTATCTTCCAGTACTTCAGAAGCTACCAATGAAGGAGAATATTTGTAGCTCAGGGTTGAAATGAGGGGTCCTTAGTGCTCTCTTGAGCTTGTTTTCTTGCAGAACTTGTACTGATGTTACCTAGTTAGGGTAATGAAACATCTGCAAGAAAACAAGCTAACTCGGAGAGCACCAAAGACCCCTCACTTCAGAAGCTGTCATAGAGAAAAGGGGATTGACTTATTCTTCAAAACACCAGAAAAGAATTAATGGGTGGAAGCTTGTTAAAGAGAGTAGAATAAATTTTCTGACAGTCCAAACAAATAATCATAGAATAGCTTGCCTCTTGGAGGTTTTCAAAAACACTGAACAAACGTTTGTGATGAAAAAAGGCTCCTGCCTTGAGCAGGGAGCTGGACTAGACCCCTGAGGACCCTTCCAGCCTATGATTCTTATGTTCTATTTAAATAATACAGAAAGGCCAAAGTTGTCATTATAAAGTAGATATCAATCTCTTCATACACAAACAGAATCAAATTAGTGTGATTTGAGTTGTTTTCCCTTTGAGGATTCTCATCCATGGAATCCTTCCCAAGCTCTCTCTAAGTTTATTGAAATTAGCTCTCTTGAAGTCCAAGACTCTAGTTTGACTGTGTTCTATTACTTGTGCTTGCAGTACATTTACAGCATTCTCTGTTCAACCAACAGAAGCAAATTATGTTGTAACATGACAGAGATAACACTGATTATAATTTCAATGTGGACCAGAATAATCTCAGGCTCAGGTCTTGATATTTTAACACCTGGTTTTCTATGCTGCTATATTCTCGTGAAAAATGAAAGGTAGATAAAAATAATAAAATATAAAAATGTGGAAAATCTAAAGTTATGATTTCCAATGGTAGTTTAAATTCCAAAGAAAGATGTAGATCTCAATAAAGCTCAAAGAACATCTTTGATGAGCCTCCATGGCATTAAAAATATGAAAATACATTTTGTTACAGATTCTATTCCAAAACTGACTTCCATCAGATAACATTTTTTCTTCTCTGATAACCTCTTTGTTGGCTTTCTACATAGACAGTAAAATTTATCCTCTTGACTATTTTGCTATATCGCCATTGTCTTTCCTTTTTTACTTTGGAGGCAGGGGCTCTAATTTTAACAAATTTAAATTGGTATTTGGTGGTATATTTTTTTACGAAAAACAGAATAGTAATAATTTTGATTGAATCAATCAAAAGAGAAAAGCGTAAAGCAAAGTTAGAGTGAAACTTTTACAACCATCACATATAGAGAATAAATGAATTAAACCAAATGTTTACCTGGCACAGAAATGTTCTTTTCTCTGGACCAAACAAAAGTTGTGATCAAATCCATTCAGCTGAAACTTCTGCAAATGACTCCCAAGTTCTTTAGGCTTTCGCAGGTCAAATGGAGTATTCTGCACTGGTGTGATCTTTCCTGATTAGCGAGAGGAAAACAAGTCAAAACAGGAGTGAGAATATAAAGGAACTGAGGTAGCATGAAATATTCAGGTGTTTTCTTTGGTTGGTTATTTATAAAATGTTTTGGCCACCCATCTTACCATAGGGTAACTCTGGGTAGCTTACAGTTACATATAAGCTAAAACATAAAAAGTTAAAAACAAACATTAAAACCAAAGACATGATTATAAAAACATAAAGGACATGAAACATAAAAAATACAGTGACTGTTGGCTTTTCACAGTTGCTATTGTTAAGATAATAAATAGTCTCTGCACTAAATACATTACTATGCACTGTAATTTTAAAAAACACTATCTTCCTAAAAATTATTTTCATCAAGTACTTCCACATCACAAAGTTATCATTCATTCCAGCTCTAATCCCCAAACCTCTCCCAAAATAGTTTAAAGTCAGTCTTTAGTTCTTTTTACTTCTGCCAGCCTCAGAAAGCCAGTTTGCTCTAGTGCAGGGGTAGGCAACCTTGCCTCTTTTATGATTCATGGACTTCAACTCCCAGAATTCCTGAGCCAGCATGGCTCAGCTTGGAAACCTCTCCCTTTCCCCTCAGCATGGCTGGCTCAGTAATTCTGGGAGTTGAAGTCCATGAGTCATAAAAGAGCCAAGGTCGCCTACCCCTGGCCTAGTGGTTAAGGCACTAGGCTAGAAACCAGGAGACTGTGAATTCTACTCTGCCTTAGACATAAAAGTCAGTTGGTTACTTTGGGCCAGTTACTCTTTGTCAGCCCAACCTACCTCGCAGGGTTGTTCTGGAGAAAATAGGATAAGGGAGTAGTATTATGTATGATCACCACCTTGAGTTATTTATAAAAGTAATAATGGTAGCATATAAATAAACATCATTGAAAACAGGCAGGAAATACTTTGAGCCAATTAGTTTTTCTTCTAGCTGACTGATAAGGTTAAAAAAAACTTGGTACAAAGTGTTCTACCCTCCTTATCTGTCACAATTCTTAAAGTAATAATAGCCAGTCATCCCTACTCCAACCTAGGAAAAAAAAAGAAATTGCTGGCAGACAGAAGCTTCTACACTTTTGGGACCTGTGTGCATTTGTCACGTCAGTTATGAGAGAAAGTAACCATTCCTTCTATTTTTTTCTCTTAAAAAAGCCTTTGCTGCTAGATGTGCTTCTGGAAAATTAGCACAAGTGGTATACAAATCAAAAAACAGTAATGCCATCATTTCCTATTAAAAGATTTTAAATAGATCTGTGAACCCAGAGATCCATTGCAAATCATATTCACTGGAATAGATGTACCATAATCTGTACTGACACAAGACAAGTGCCTATGTTCAGAATGATTCTAAGAGCAATTGTCAATTATATTGTCCATTGTGGCCTTCTCTCAAAACAGCACTGCACTTGTCAGGTTTACTTTTATAATGAACTAAACTTTTAGCATAGTATTCCCAACCTGATACTCTCCATGCTAGACTACCATCCCCATTGGGCTTCAAAGGAGTTAACAGTTCCCCTATGTACAATATGTGGGGAAACAGAGACAACCAGCACAATCATTCTGAGTATTAAGGTATAGAAATGGCCAGTGGAGAAACTGGAAGGGGTGAGAACAATTTATGGTATTTGTTTTGAAAAGGAAAACTGCTTAATATCTGCCCATTTTGGAACCAAAGACTGCATTCCTAGTTCTGCAGATCCACAGCAAAGAAAATATATATATATAAAAAAACCCGCATCTGGATGTAAATTACAAAGCATGGGCTTAGGCTATGCGTTCTAATTTCTGTAATGTTACAATACATTTGATAGTCATTATCTCAACAATTCCCCTATAATTCCAGTTTGGGATATACAACCTGTTAAATGGTAATTTGAAAGCAGGATCTTAAATTGATAACAAACCCAGTTTTTTTTCTCCTTAGAATGCAGCTTCATCTTCAAAGACACTCAGATTAACCAACCTGTTGGAATCAGAGTTTCATCCAGTGGCAAGTAACAATCTGCCTCTATGGTAAACTCATGGTCATAGATATTGGATGAGCCCTGAGTTATGAAAACAAAAAATACTATAATACTAGATACAAAAAGATAATAATATGTTGATTTTGTTCTGACACAGATCTCATTTTTAAATATATTTTTATTATGAAGTTTGTTACAATGGGTAAAATCTGATACAAACTAAATTTGAATAGAAAAAAGAGAAAAAGAATAAAATAAAGAAAAATAAATATATGTTACTTCCAACCTTCATCAATGAAGTATAGACAGATTAATAACTCTTCACCCCCTATAATAGTGCTTCCCAAGCCTTTTCTTTCACTACCCAAAACCGCTTATAAGAAAGTGTTATCAAACTTGGGGGAGTGGCCATAAGTCCCTCCCTTCAGCATCAGAATAACTTCAAGTGGTTACTAAATGACCACAATTAGGGACCATCTGTATTATGAAAATAATATAATTGATATTTTTGTCATTTCAACAAATTAGCATTGGTAATTTCATCTTTTTTCATCTTAATAGGAAAATGTTGGGAGAATTTTGAATATATTTTTGTACACATGGCAATCTTTAAGTCAATTTACATGTACAGCTTTCCAATTTGCTTCAGAGCCAAATTCAAAAGGTTCCAAAATGTAAAAGTTGGATTTTGTCCAATTTAGGATCTAGGCTTTATGATCAATAGATGCTACAATTTCCTTGATTACTGTAGTAGATTTTAGCAGAGACATGAAAAATAACTCCATGTAGACAAGGGCTTCAGCACTAAAAAGAAATGTGGGCTCTGTCTCTTTTGTTAAAATTTCTTGCAACATTAGCAATGGTTATGAAACTCACTTACCTGACCTCCAAGATTGAAGTAAGCGTGGTTTGTTAGATTGACTGGTGTAGTCTTACTAGTTTGAGCCCTGTAATTAATTATTAACTCCCCATCCTTGAGTGTATATGATATCCACACTTTCAGCTCACCAGGATATCCCTCTTCACCATCTGGACTTATTCTGAAAAAGCGGACACCATCTGGCAGGATTTCAGGGAACCAGATAACCTAAATTACAATTTGATGAGCTTAAAGAATAAATCAATCAACTGGACCAATCTTCAAATACTGCTCAAATGTGTTCAGACTTCTAGAATTTCTAGTCAGCAAGAAACTATAGTCTAATATAACTGAAGACATAACTTTGGGAAAAGCTATGGTATCTGTATAGACATCTGTATGAAGATCTTGAAAGGGACTACTTATTCTAAATATAGGTCTTGAGATTTATACTCAATTGTTTTCTAAGACAATGAAATAGCCTCTAATAGATGAAGTCTTCTCCCATCAGAGGAAGTTTCCAAGCCAGTGGACAAATCCATTTGGTGAAGAGGGCAATTTTCTAAGCATAAACTTTTAAAGCAAGGTAGAACATAAAGAAGTTTCTGAACATATTGAGAAATTAATATTGTTTAAACATACAAAATTATAAAAGATAATTTAATGTATTTTAATTAACAGTTGTTTTTAATATAAAACATTAGGGGCCTCCTTATATTACTAGATATAAAGCATGCTGTGATTAGAATATATAGAAAAAATATATGCTGGAGCAGTTGGTCATACAACTAATGAGGGAGGGAGGCAACATTAGATCTACTGTTAAGTAGTACTCAAGATTTGGTGACAGAAATATATGTACTCAAACATATTGGCAATAGTGTCCATAATGAAATAAATTTCACCTTCAGAAAAGCAATAATCTAAAGAACACATCATACACAATCATATTTGAGTTTAAAATTTAGAAGGCTGTTGAAAAGGAAACCCAAAGAGCAAGCATAATATATTCATAAATTTAGGAAAATGGCCCCTAATGGTTGATTAGCACTACGAAGAAAGCTATGAAGCCCAAGAAAAAAGTATTTAAGATTCATTTTTTCTTGGGCCTCATAGCTTTATTTACTTTTCTTCATTAGAAGTGGTCTTTCACTTTAGGAAATGAAAGACTAGTCCTAATGAAGAAAACAAAAATGAGTATAAACTCTGGCAAAAGAAAAACAAAGGGACAGAAGTGGTTAAGTCTTACTAACAAATTGAACATCAACAACTCACCAGGCCATGATGTCATCCATCCAAGGATTATTAAGGTGCTTAAAACTGAGACTATGGATCTCCTAAGTAATATAGTCAACCTATTCTATATGTTTGGACTCTGCAGTTGAAACTGAAAAGTGTCTAAAATAACTCCATCTTTTTAAAAGGATGATCTAAGGAATTATCGGCAGGTCAGTTTAAGAGCTATTCTGGGGAAAATAGTGGACACTGCTCCTAAAGATAAAATTACCAAACATTTGAAGACACAGACCTTGCTCAAGGATACACACCATGGCTTCACTAAGGGGAGGCCCTGTCTAATTAATCCACTAGAGTTCTTTTGAGGATGTTAATAAACATGTATAAAAGGAAAGCCAATTGACATAATTTCCTAAGGATTTCCCAAAAAGAAAATTCCTTAGATTTGCAACCACCCAGTCATTTAAAGTGATATGAGTGGTGTGTTCCAGAATTTGGGGGCTGCCACAAAGAAGGGGTCAACTTATTTTCCAAAGCACCAGAAGGCAAGACAAGAAACAATGGATGGAAACTAATCAAGGAGAGAACCAACCTGAAATTAAGAAGAAATTTCCCAACAGTGAGAACAATTAACCAGTGGAACAGCTTGCCTTCAGAAGTTGTGGGTGCTTCATCACTGGAGGTTTTTAAGAGATTGGACAGCCACTTGTCTGAAATGATATAGGGTCTCCTGCTTGAGCAGGGTTTAGACTAGAAGACCTCCAAGATCCTTTCCAACTCTTTTCTAATTGAATTGAATTGAAATAAATGAAATAAACAAGCCTTTCATAAAGTCCATTATCAAGGACTTCTCAACAAACATAAGAACTATGGAATAAAAGGGCAGGCATAAGCAACTGGCCAAAGAATAGAAGAGTAGAATAAGAGTAAATGTGGATACTGGGATTCCCCCCCCACACACACACACACAAACTTCACCCACAAATAGCTGCTGCTCTTGGCAAGATTCTAAGAACAAAAGCCTCCCTTGCTATTCAAATATAAGGGGAGAGAAGTTGTGTTTGCTCAGATCTTTAACACACTAGCCATCATAGACTTCCTTACTAGACATGGAAGGGTTTAGACTGCATTCTATTTTGTGTATATTTTGAACTAAAGAATTTGTAGGAACTTGCATTGCTAGAGTTGCCTGTATACACTAGTATCTAGCACCAGTATATATTGAAAGTCTGGCATCGTTACCTAGCAAAGTAAGATCCAGCTTGATTATTCCATAAGAAAAAAAGCAGAATAATATTATCTGATAATTTATTATTAACTGTTCACTAGCAGATCTACCTTGTCAAACCCTTTGACTCCTCCATGCAAACTGTTGGATCCATCATTGAGGGCCAGCTGGTATTCATGTCCTTCCACTGTAAATTTCCCTTTGGCAATTCTGTTAGCCACCCGTCCAATGGTAGCTCCAAAATAGGGGTGCTTACAGATGTATCCTAAGAAAGAGAATAAAAGAGAGCAGCAGGATAGTATAATATACATGTTAGAATTTAGTGTAAAGCTAGTCAGATTTAAATGCCTACTGAGAGCACTCTTTCCTATGTATATCACCCAATAAATCTTAATTGAACAATATCTTATGAAAGAAGGGACTCCTTTATTAAGATTTCTCTGTTTATTTCAATGGAGGTGGCAATGTCATGTCTGCAAAGAGCTGTGTGCACAGAACTTCTACACTGAAGTTAATATCTATTGGACTGTATACTCTGTGGCAATGTTTTTCAACCATGGCAATTTTAAGCCATGTGGACTTCAATTCCCAGAATTCTTCAGCTAGTATTCTGCCTGGGGTATTCGGGGAATTAAATTCCACCCAGCTTATGGCTGTCAAGGTTGAGAAACCTGCTGTCTGGTTATGTAGTGTATTTTAGTATTGAGTTCAGATCCACATATTTGGGCCAGTCACTCTTTTCTAGCTTAATTTAGCACCTCTCGGTAAAAAAAAAAAAAAAAAAAAATAGGGCAAGCATAAAGTGCATGTTTTGAGTCAAAGAAATGATAAGAAAAAAATAAATTATTCAAAAAGCACTTATTTTCATTTATACAAATTTGTTTTAAAGAAATTTTTTTAGTTGATTCTCTTCCTTTCTCCAGGGCTAGTTCCAGTGGTGTTGGTGGAAGGGGAGAGATTGCTCCATAGGCCCTTTCTTTGTGGGATACTACAAGGTTGTATTCTCTCATCTCACCTTTTCAACAGATTCATGAAACTGCTAGACTCTCTCTCTCTCTCTCTCTCTCTCTCTCTCTCTCTCTCTCTCTCTCTCTCTCTCTCTCTCTTTCTCTCCCTCCCTCCCTCCCTCTCTCTCCCTCCCCCCCTCCCTCCCCCCCCCTCTCAGTAAATTATTCAGGTTCTGTACCAATGCCTGGAGGAGGCTGTGTGTGTGTTTGGAATGTAGCAGTGTGGGAGTGAAGGACATGCCTAGGTATGCCCATGTAACACCTCTGCTTCATGAACTGTAATGGTTGCCAATTTGCTTCCAAATATGATGTAAGGTGATGGCATGGGGCCTGATTACTTGAGGAGCTATCCCATCTTCCATAGTGTCTCTACAGCCATTTTAATCTAGCATGGTTGGCACACTTTGGGTTCTATTGATTAAAAAAATACCATCTATCACCTTCTCTGTAATATTACCTGGCCTCAACCCAAATTTGCTGAGAATCAGGAGAGACATCAATTTTAATAATAATACCATTTTTGTGATAAGTTATTTTATGAAACCATATCAAAACAAAACTAAACATGATAAAAATAGATAAATGCTCTCTACAAGGTTAACGTGATCTTTAAGCATTTGAAATCTTCTCATTGAAAATGTTCTTTTATGTGCTAATTATAAATAATGCTAGGATAATTTTAACAACAGTAGAGCACTTTTTCTGCATTAAACTCACTTTGGAGTGCAAAAAGCAGTGAAATTTCTTCTTTTTACATTATAGCAGTGGTTCTCAACCTTTTTAATGCTGCGACCTCCAACCAGTCGTAAGTCGAGGACTACTCATCCGGTCGTAAGTCGAGGACTACTCAACTGGTGCAGCACCATTTGCAAAATGGGACTTTTGGAGGGCTCAGCAGGGCAGAGACAGCCTGGACAATTCCTATTGGCTTTGGAAAGCCAATAGAATTAGACTCTATTCAAGAGAGTCTATTCTATTGGCTTTCAAACGCCAATAGAATAAAAGGGAGTAGCACAGCTAAGGAAAAGGGGGGAAAAAATGGCAGACTGTGTTGTTTGGTGACCCGCGTGAAATGGTCATTCGACCCCAAATGGGGTCCCGACCCACAGGTTGAGAACCACTGCATTATAGGGAACAAAAATATATTTGTTAATCATTGTGAAAGAATGAAACTGCCTCTCTTGAAATGGAAAACCACAGTTGCTACCAAACAGTCATTGCAAAAGAAAGATTATCAAATACAGTTACGTTTCTAGTAGTGTAGCTATGTTAATCTGGTTCAAGAAAAACAATCTAATTGAGTCTTAAAGGTTAATTACATGATTCTGGCATATGGTTTTATGGACTACTTCCATCAGATATGATTAATGAAGCTTATTATCATAAATGTTTCATTTCTTATGCTTTACAAAAAATATTTACCTTTGTATTTAGCTTCTTATGGACTTAGTCACTAAAGCCTCCAACAGCAGTTAGCCCCAATATATGTTTCAACCTTTACTAGGCTCTGAAATATTCCCATCTCTAACATGCAATATGGGAACTACTGATTGATAACCACATACTTCCAGGGTCGGCAGAATTACTACAGCTCTCCAAGTGTATTGGGCTATAATTTCCATGATACCCAATATGAATGTGATTGACTGTGGTGGGTGGGATCAATGGGGGTTGTAGCTCAATACAATTGGAGATAATTGGTTTGGGGAAGACAGTCATATTTCTGCAACCTTTGAATTGATTTCCTTCTCTCTTTCCAAGCTTAGAAGGATAATTAGAATGCAAAGGGAAACAGCATTCTATCTGCTAAAGATATCAGGGAAGCATTTTTACCTTCCTGTAAAAATTAGAAGAGCTGGGCTGTACCAATTTGTGAACTGAACTTTTCATCCATAGGGAATTTGTTGACTCAGAAGAACTTAGTTCTTATGGGGATTGTTCACCCCATATACTTCAAGTCTTGGTAGTAAATTAATGTGATGATATATGTTGTGGTTTTACCACCTGTTGCAGATGGGACTTCAACCAAACTTTGAGGTTCACCTATCACTACTCTTTGAAATTGGGGCAGCTGCCATTGTAAGCTTGCAGAAACCAAAATGTAAAACTAATGGCTGGCTTTGGTTTCACATATCTATTTCTTCAAATCACATATTGAACTGAATACGTTATTTGGCCAAGTGTGATTAGATACACTAGGACAGAGGTCCCCAACCTATGGGCTGCGGCCCACTGCCAGGCCATGGCCTGTTGGCCACCGGCCTGCATAAGTGGCTGGTCAATGTGTGCGTGTGTGTGTGCCCACTCCCTCTCGTGCCTGCACTAGTCTCGGTGGGACCCTTGGAGTGATTCTTGCGCTGGCGCTAGTCTCAGCACGACCCTTGCTCTTGCGCTAGCCTTGGTGCGACCCTTGGCATGATTCTTGTGCCGGCACTAGCCTTAGTGTGATCCTTGCACCGGTGCTAGCCTTGGCACAACCCTCACACCTGCGCTAGCCTCGGCACGACACTCACATCTGCGCTAGCCTCAGTGTGACCTTCGCACCGGCGCTAGCCTCAGATGGCCCTAGCATCTCCATTTACGGAGCATGTGTGTTTGTGGCCCCATTAACGCATATGCATGCACAGCTACATTTGGGTGTGTGCACATGTGTGCGTAAAGGTGTCTGTCCCTCCCTTTCTCACTGGCCCACTAACCCAAAAAGATTGGTGACCTCTGCACTAGAAATTTGTCTTAGGTGCAGAAGCTCTCAGTGTATATGCAAAGGAATAGAATAATTATAATCATAATAATATCAATAAGGAGGAATAAGAAGGATAATAAAAACAATAACTAATAATGCTATAGCCGTGTTACTTTGATAAATACACATAGACATTAGATAGCACTGTGAGAATTAGATGTTCAGCAGAAACATGGCCTGAGGGAAAAACCTGTCCCAGTGTCTAAATGTCTACGGAGATTCTCAGTCATCCAGGTCATGGTGGTCCCCAAGGTGCTTTTTCAAAAGGAACTGAAGAAGCTTCTTGGATAAGAAGCAATATGTCTTCAAGAAAAAACAAAGAAGATCCAGTTGCCTTTTGAAAAAGCACCTTTGGGATATCCCCATGTCTAGATGTTTTGCGCTGCAATGCCTTGTAATGCCATCTCAAAGGGAGGAGTTGAAACAGTTTATGTAAAGGATGTGAGAGGTCTGCAGGTATCTTCTCAGCCCTTCTTCTGACCTGTGTAATATACAGGTTTTCTATGGAAGGCAGGCTGGTTGCAGTTATTCTTTCTGGAGTCTTGATTATCTGTTGGACTCTGTGCCATACGGCAGCTGTGGCAGCTACTCTAAATTAACATGGCATATAAAAGCCTACAAAAATTGTTAAAGAGCGATGCATACTTAGAGAGGCAACCATAAGTGATACACTTCTGCTAATCTACTATCAAGACTTAGACAGTTGTCTGAATGTGGCTTAATAGAGAAGTTTAATAGAGAAGAGGTAGCTATATAAGGAGAAGCATCCTACTCTCAATTATGTTACTACATGCTTACGAAACTAAGCACAAAGAAACCACAGCAATATGTTCCTTAAATATGTGAAGTCAAACATTTCAAAACAAGAACTTTAGTGCTTGAATCACTCATCTCTAATATAAGAACAGAACAGTTTGGGGGCTGGGTTCCTTCTATAAATGAAAACAAATTCAATTAGACAGCTACCTGTGAAAAACCTTCAATGATTTAAATGCAATGGGAATGAAATGTAACTGAAAAGACCAGGATTCCCTGTTTTATTTCATTCCTCTTTCAACTTTGACTCCTGTCCAGTGATCAGGCTCACTTGACTCCATTTAATGAATTCCCCTCCCCATCATCAATAAAAATATATTTGATCACATCTACTGCAATATCTATCTAGTAACCCAAGGCTGCAAATTCTACCTATGCCTCTACAGATATGGTAGGTGGGCCCTTCTCTTGGAGATCAGGTGTCAGGTCACTGCTTCTACAGAAATTGCTAAAATTTGTGTGCCAGACCTCCTCTTGGTTTATGGCAGGGGTCTTCAAACTTGGCCCTTTTATGACTCATGGACTTCAACTCCCAGAATTCCTCAGCCACCCTGCCTGGCTGAGGAATTCTGGTAGTTGAAGTCCATGAGTCATAAAACGGCTGAGTTTGAAAAACCCTGGTTTAGGGCAGGGGTAGGCAACCTCGGCTCTTTTATGACTCATGGACTTCAACTACCAGAATTCCTGAGTCAGCTATGCTCTGGGAGTTGAAGTGTATGAGTCATAAAAGAGCCAAGGTTGCCTCCCCCTGGTTTAGGGGAACCTCAAAAAAAATCATATTAATGATGTAACTAAAAGCAAATTAGAAATCCCCTTTGTAATAATCTTATAAAACTCAACCAAACCCACCTTCCAAATGATCAAAGCCTAAAACAATGTCCGAAAACTTTCCGTTTCTGTCTTTAGTCTTCAAGGAGGTGATTATGCAGCCTAAGGTTATTATTTCCACTTCGACTGTGTCGGATGTGAGCAGGAATTTTTCCACGGTTCCTCCGCCAAGAGGCAATTCACCAAAGGCTTCTTTCTTCACCTCAAGCATTGTTTCTTCCTCTTTGCGCTAAGCGTAGGTCAGCAGCCAGCACCGGGGAGGGGAAATGAGACGGACGTGTGGCAAACGGATTCCATCCGCAATCAACTGTCCATCAGCTGATGTGGCGAGGCAAGAAAACTCTTTGTTAGATTGGCAGCCGACTGTGATGCATACAGAAGTAAGTTTTCTGAAGGCTGATAAACTATTTTCTAAGGACGTTTCTACAGAATTCCACAACCTACGCTCGGTTATTTAGCGCAAACTCACTTATTCCCTGAGACTTCCCCCAGAGTAAACAGGAAGAGAATAATCCAACCACCACGTTTCTTCGGTCCCTTTGTTTCCAGCAAAACGTTCACGCCCCTCTCCTACACGTCTGCGAGGCAAAATATATAATTCGAAAACTAAATAGCGTCCCGTAGGCATTCGCAGAGGTGAGAATTCAACTACAAGGTGGAGAGCGGGAAAACCGAAAGAATGTCGCGATAAAAACTGAAGAATTGCAAGATGAAACTCGTAGTTTCTTAGGATTGCTGCGTAGAAGCCTGGTCTATTCAGATGAAAAAGTGGTATTTTGAAAGTAGAACAAAATAGTTTTGCGCGTTTAGAACGAGAAAGAAGGATATCGATCTCTTAGCACAGTTATCAAGTGAGAAATTAAATAATTTTTATCTTTTATTATAGGGTATTTATGTTTGGGACTGCATTTATCAGGAGCGAAAGGGCTATTTTAAATTTTTGAATTCCCAAAAATTCAAACAGCTCTTTTGTCTGCTGTCTGGACATTCCGGATCTTCGGCCAATATTTGCACTCATTCAGTCACATGATCATGGAGGAGAAAACTAAGAAAAAATAAGTGTGATGATGACGATGATGAAGAGGATATGTTATTAAGTCTGTATCAACTCTTAACTATATAGATGGATTTTGTCCAGGATATAAATAAATAAAATGAGTATACTTTATGATAAAATGACTGTCTGGCCCAAACAATAGTCAAAGTGTCTTGATCACAAATCTGTTTTAAATAAAGTATGTAGAAATTTGGATTTAACTCACTAAATTCACATGTTATTTTTGTTTATTGCTTCTCTAGATGATTCCATGACTAGCCATATGAGCAAAGTACAAATCCATTAAAAATATAAAACAATCAAGCAAAACTAAAACAACAAAAACAATAAAGATAACAATTACTGTTTTTTTAGTCTCTTATGTTCCAGAAATGAAAAGGTTAAATTCACAGTCACAACAGATATAGCACTGCCAGAGCTGACAAGCCAGGCTGCAGAGTTAAAGATGGAAATTTGTTTTGTACAAAGCTTCAGAGACAGATTAAAACAATTCTCTCTAAAATAATTAATTAGCAACTATTTTAAAATACTGTAGCAAATGAAAATGTATGTTGTTTTTCTGCTAGATTCTTTAAGAAATATATTGAATTGGAAAATAGAGTTGATGTACACTTTTGGCTGAACCTGAGCCACAATATTGGATATATATCTGCTTTTTTAATATTTTTCTTTTCTTTTTTTCTTTTGGTGCTTTTGAGTCAGTGTAGACTCTTGATGATTGCCTGGACAAGTCCTACAGTTTTCTTGACAAGATTTTGGAAGTAATTTGCTATTGTTCCTTCTTAGGACTGAGAGATCATGATTGGCCCACAGTCATCCAGCTGGCTTGATGCCTAAATCAGGACTAGAATCAGAGTCTCTCAGTTTCTAGCTTTATGCTTTGACCACTATACCAAACCAGGTCTCCTATCTGCTTATTACAGAAAGAAAATTTCTGGGAATGAAGCCTGGCCTTTTATAGAGATGCAACCATTAGGCTTAGTTCTTCCTATGTACAAACTGAAATGTTTGTATACCATTTGTAAATCACACAAGATTCTTGAAGATTTGCTCATTTTGTCACATATTTACTTTTACTATAAAATCAAGTATAGCAAGTTTAATGAAATGAGAGGGGAGAAGGAAGATGTCTGTCTATATGACATTTGTTATACAAATGGGAATGCAAAAGATAACAATCTTTTTAAAATTCTCGTTGCTGCATAGTAACAGAGATAATGACCCTTTGCATAAATTAATGTACCTTGAAGAACTGCATTTGCTTTTTCAAGAACTTGTTGAACATGTAGAAAATTGCTTGTGTTAAGCACTCAGCAAATAATTTAAAAAGCAATTCAGTGCTATATTGGCTTGTGGTCTATTACTTACGAGCAGCTGAAACTAAAAATAGTTTTGTTAACTCTTTATTGTGTCATTTTAGATTTTAAAATGTGATACAGAATTTGTGCATTCTCATCTAGTTCATTCCAAAAGGAGTCTCACCAGATTATTCTTGATCTAAGGAGATCATACATGTACTTATTCATGCTGATTTTTTTCCCATACATGGATAGCTTTTAGAGCTCAAAAATTAAACACCTGCAGTAAAATTAAATGGGGCAATCTGCATATTCAGCAAAAAGTCTGTATTGTTGCAAATCTAGTATCCAGAAATTTCAATTGGTTCAAAATGTGGCAGCCCACATGTTTTGTGCAAACCTAGATTTGCACAGGTAGCAGCTCTCTTCCAGAAGCTTTATTGGCTGCCAATGTACTTTTGGTTTCAATTCAAAGTGATGATTGTCATCTTCAAAGCCCTACCTGGCGTGGGACTAGGTTATTTTCCGAGACATATTTACCTGACGCACCAGAGCAGGGATGCAGGGAATGTTATGAGTCCCCTCTCTTAAGGAGGTTCATCTAGTGCAGACATATCAAACTCGTGACATCACATGACGTCACGCAATGTATCGGGACAGTTTTGCTATTGCCGGCAATGGGGTGGGCATGGCTTCTGCGTGATGCGTCTGGCCTGTGGGCCGGACACCCCTGATCTAGTGAGACCAAGAGGAAGAGCCTTCTCTGTGGTGGCTCCTTCCTTGTGGAACATCATCCCTGCAGAAACAATACTGGCCTCCACTTTGACACTCTTTTGAAAGGCCCTGAAGATATGTTCTAATAATGGGCCTGGAGTGTTTTGAGTAATATGGAGTCCATCAAGTAGCTGGTCTGATTGTTGGTGGGGGGTGGAGAGGTTTCCGCATTGGGATTTTATCTTTGTAAGCCTCCCAAAGTCACCATGAGCGAGTTGGGTAGCTACATAAATTTTCTTAATAAAAAAAATGTGCTATAGTATCATGCAGATTAATATACAGGATAAAGAATTGTCTGTCCCCTTAAGGAACTTACAGACTTAAAAGGATGCAAGTTAATCACATGTATGATGGAACTACTGAAAAAACTAGAGCAATAGGCCTCTTCTGGAAATAAAGAACATGCTGAAGGCATTAGCATGCCATGTTTGTCTTGGTGCCAAGAAAATTGCACAATTGTATTTATGTAGTTACCAAAAATAGAGGATTTCTTTACCATCACCTTGACCAGGGGTAGGCAACCTTGGCTCTTGTATGATTCGTGGACTTCAACTCCCAGAATTCCTGAGCCAGCCAGCTGGGATTGGAGTCCATGAGTCAAAAGAGCCAAGGTTGTCTATCCCTGACCTTGACTTATTTATTAATAGCATTTCTCACCTGCCCAAGCCAAAGAACTCTGGGTAGCAGTATAGTTTGGACAAATTCAAGTTTGTCAGATTCTTAGATTTTGTTGGAGGAAACATTACTTGAGCAAGTGTGGTTATGCTTGAGTGCAGACATTTCCTTTAAACTAACATGTAATGAGGTGAAACCATACGTGAAACCCCAAACCACTTGAATAATGCAGTTCAGGAAAATACCTTTATAATGGAAACAACACCTCTTAATACAAGATAAGATATTTCTATTACTTATTAATTCAGAATTAATTTTTACCCTGAAAGATGCGTAAGTTTATATTTAAGTATATAGCATAAACTTTCATTCTTTTCCTCCCTAAGAACAGTGGATGTTAAGAACCTGCCACAGTCAAACTCTTAGAGACTAGAAGTATATTCATTCACCTTGTCCAGTAATGAATTATAACTAAACTTTTAAACATGTTATATTTACAAGGGTCATGGTGGCGAACCTATGGCACGCATGCCACAGGTGGCACGCGAGCCATAGCAGGGCCGAGCTGCTCCCTCCTCTCCGCGCATGCGCAGCTTTCCACAGCTGCACATGCGTAGCTCTCCACACATGTGCAATCTGCGAATAGGCAAGAGGCTATAAAGGGATCAACTTTCGGCAGAAGCAGGCACGGAAAACGAGGCAGCAGCCCTATGTGCATCCTCATTTGCGAGTGTGCCCCTGCCCTGCCAGGCAAGCGGAGCCCCGGCATCTTCGGCAGAAGAGCGCAGGAGGGCAGCGGAAGGCATGAGGAGCCCCAACCCCAGCACAGTCCCTCCTCCCCCACTCGGAAGAGCTGCGGGGCTCAGGAGCCTCCCCCCATGCCCCACCCGCTGAACAAGATGCCCTCCTGCCCACTGCCCCACCCACCAGAGCAACATTGAGTTGGCCACACCCACAATGGCCACGCCCACCCAGTCTACCATTTCCACCATAGCCATGCCCACCCGGCACCCGGTGATACATAAGTGGGATTTGGGTTGCAGTTTGGGCACTCAGTCTCTAAAAGGTTCGCCACCACTGTACAAGGGGGTACAGTAATAATTAAGTTATTAAAGACCATGTTGCAGCAAAATAGAACCCTAAAACCTATGTAGAGATATTAAACTTTAAGTAAAAGTAGGAAGTAGGATCTTATATTTTGGATTATTCTAGATATTTTGGTCCTAATGTGTGTTCAGTCCAGTGGGACAAAATATCCTACAATTGAACTAAAACCAGTTGCTGTTTGTACACCAGTGCTGCCTCTTGAAGGAATGGTATTATCTCTGTGGGAGCAAGTTTATAATTTTGGTCATTTGACTCATAGGTGAAAGACATGGCAGGGGGGCTTTGGCCCAATTTCAACTGATGCATCAATTGTTGGACTAGGTAGGAAGACTACTACTACTACTACTACTACTAATAATAATAATAATAATAATAATAATAATAATGAAGATT